TTTTTTTTTTTTTTTTTTTTTTTTTTTGTCTTTTTTTCCGTGTCCGGCAACGGATCGCAACCCTCAGTGTTGCCCCCGTACCGGACCGGGGACCGGCAACGGGATCGCAAGCCTCGGTGTTGCTCCCGCGCCTCGCTCAGCCAGTGAGCGGGAACCGGTCTGCATATGGGATCCGAACCCTCGGACGGGAGCGCCACCGCGCTTCCCAAGCGGCGCACCATCCAGTGCGCCACCGGGCCGGCCCATATTTGGTATGTTTTGGAAGGGAACATGGAGCTTTTTGAAAGTTTTATTTTTATATAATTTCGCACTTACCAAAAAATTGCAAAAGTAAGACAAAGAATTCCCTGATCCCTTTTACCCAGATCTCCTCATGTGATAACATTTTACTGTGTTTGCTTTATTAACTGATTTCTCTCTTCCCTCCTTCATGTACATACACACAAAGTTTTTCTGAACTATTTAAGAATAAATTGCAAACATGGTACCTTTTTACCCCTAAATATTTCAGGATGTATTTCCTAAAAATAAGGCTCTTACATAATTACAGTACACTTACCAAATCAGTAACAACATTGAAAAATACTATTATCCACAGATTTTATTCAGGTTTCACCATTTATCCTAGTCATGTCCCTTATGGGAAAAGGAAGTACAAACTGATGCATTTTCCATTCAATCATCATATCTCTTTAGGCTCCTTTAATCTGGAACAATTCTTTGTATCTTATGACAGGCCAGTTATTTTGTTGAATTTCCCTTACTTTGGGTTTGTCTGATATTTCCTCATGATGAGATTCAGGCTTATGCACTGTTGATAGGAATTCTGCAGACATGATGTTAAGCTAATCAGCATGTGATATCAGGAGGCACGTGCTGTCCAGTAGTCCCATTACCAGGTATTAACTGTGAGGACTGGGTTAGGATGGTGTCTTCAGGTCTCCCACGGAACGTTGCTAGTTTGTGGCTCTTTCCTATAGGTCAGCTGGTATCGGCAATGTGTGGGTCTTGATATATGTTGCCAAATTGTTTGTAATTCATCTTTTATGGAACACTGAAAATCCATTGCTGGCCTTCTTCCTAACTTCCTTGTTACTCTAGGCTGCTTGCTGTGGTCAAATACACATCCCCACCTCCTCTCCACAGGCATGCCGGATGAACAGAGAGAAGGGCTCCAGGAAGAACTGATCGACATCATCCTCCTCATCTTGGAGCGCAACCCTCAGCTGCACTACTACCAGGGCTACCATGACATCGTGGTCACTTTTCTGCTGGTGGTAGGCGAGAGGCTAGCAACATCCCTGGTAGAAAAATTGTCTACGCACCACCTCAGGTACCAGAGCAAAGGGACTTTAGAGGATGGGTATCACTTCTCAAGCTCCCCTGGGGATAGCTCCTTTGCCCATTTTCTAGTCAGTTTTTTCAATGGTTTGAGCCAACTCCACTTGCCACCCTAATCTGCGTGTTTGGTCTGACCAAGCTCATTGAATTGTCTTCCTCTAGGGATTTCATGGACCCAACCATGGACAACACCAAGCATATATTAAACTATCTGATGCCCATCATTGACCAGGTGAATCCAGAACTCCATGACTTCATGCAGAGGTATATATGTGTCTACATTTATGTGTACACACACACACACACACACACACACACACACACACACACACACACACACATATCTTAAACTCTCTCTTAGCTTTTATTTCTTCGTCATAGTCTAGTTCAGTTTCATCTTCATCTTATATTAATTAGTGAAAGTTCTTCTGAGTTGTCCTTTCCAATCACCAGCAATTAGATAATTCAATTCTGTACACAGTTTTAGAGCACATTTTGAGTTCTTTGCATTTTGGGGGATAGAAGGATGACACAGCGCATGCCTTGAGGAGTTTACATCTAGTGGGGAGATGTGGACAAGGTAAGTATGCCACAGTAGACTTTGAGGTTATCATTGAAAGAGAAGTAAAAAGTTCTGTGGGATCCAGAGGAGAGGACAAGGCCATCTGTGGGTTGTTTCCCAAGTACCAAAGAGAAGAAATATTTCTTTACAAATCTCGTATGATGTTTTTTTTTTTTTCTTCCTCTGTTTAGTTGGAGATGTGTCCTTGGCCAGTGCCTCACTTAAAAACAAAAAATAATGGGCCGGCCCGGTGGCGTACTGCTATAGTGCGCCGCTTGGGAAGCGCGGTGGCGCTCCCGCCGAGGGTTCGGATCCCACATACAGACCGGCCGCGCACTGGCTGAGCGAGGGGAGGGAGCAACACCGAGGGTTGCGATCCCGTGGCCGGTCCCGGTCCGGTACGGGCGCAACACTGAGGGTTGCGATCCATTGCCGGTCACGAAAAAAGACAAAAAGGAAAAAAAAAAACAAAAAAAACAAAAAATAAAATAAATAACAGTTTTATTTTAAGATGTTTCAGTGGTCTCATGTTAGCTGAACAATTAACAGTTGTGTTTTTAAGCCTGAGATTATGTCCCCTGTGCCCCCCAAAAGAGTAAGACTTTCTCAGAAGGAGAATCATGGGATAGTTCTCTGGAAACAACTGCTTTTTGTTTCTGTAGTTGACATTTGTTGGCCAGTAGGAGAGCATTGAGTGAGATAATGCAGCCAAGACCCTGTTGTGGTATTAGTGTCATGGTACATTTTAAAGATTTTGTATTTTGTGAGGGGAAGGTGTTGAATTCCTATGTGGCCAAATTTTCCAGAAAGCATATTTCCAAATGCTTCCTTTTCACCAGCACTGAGGAGGAAAAAGGCCCAGAGAGAGGGAAGGGATGACCCAGCAGGGAACCTAACATCTGGATTTCCTTTGCTTCTAGTGCTGAGGTGGGGACCATCTTTGCCCTCAGCTGGCTCATCACCTGGTTTGGGCATGTCCTGTCTGACTTCAGGCACGTCGTGCGGTTATATGACTTCTTCCTGGCCTGCCACCCTCTGATGCCCATTTACTTTGCAGCTGTGGTAGGTACAGACCATGAGCCAGCAACTGGGTTCACCATCACTCGTCCCAGCTTGATCATTTTCCCTAAAGGGAAACCTGGTGATTATGGAAAGATGCAAAAGACAGTGTTTCCCAGGCTGGTATCCCTGGACTCCATTCTGTTTAACGTTAATGGGGTTGTCATGGAAAAAAAAAAAAAAAGTTGGGAATTGCTGGTTAAACAAAGTTAAACAGATTTCTTTACTACGTGACTCTTCTGATTCTTTAAAATGCTGATAATGTGCATTGTGAATTGTCAGTGTTTCTATTGACATCTCCTGGAACTGTGTTCAGCTGATGAACACAATTAGGGAAACAGTATTACAAATTGCCAACTCCAGGTTTAAGAAAAGAAGAGATCTGGTGTTATGATAGAAAAGTGAGGTTGGCTGCCTGGCTAGCTCAGTTGGTTAGAGCATGATGTTATAACACCAAGGTCAAGGGTTTGGATCCCTGCACTGGCCAGCTGCCAAAAAAAAAAAAAGAAAAGTGACGTGGCTGGTGGTAGAGAGTGGGGTCTGAATGGTGGAGTGGAGGTGGGGACTCAGGGGAATTATTGACTGTTCACTGGTGCCATCAGCAGCTGTGGATTTCTGGGCTAGCAGTCAGAAGAAAGATGTTCAGAGGGGACAAAACCATTCTCCCTACTGTTCTGAACCATATCTAATGTGCTGGAGCTCCAAGAACCTCCCAGCAATCCCTCCCCTTTTGTTCCTGCTAAAAGAATCTCCTTCATTACTTTCAAGACTTTGAGGGACACTTGAGCAGATCACTGTGCCTGGAAGGTCTTAGATTGTAATTGGTCAGCCTTTCACATCATGGTGTGGAAGTTTGCCTGCAGTGGGAAGGGCCAGCCCACTAGGAACAGCACTGAGAGTATGTACACTATTACTTTCTAGATGTATACGAGAGTTTGCTGAACATTCAGGCTGTGCGCTGTTACCAAGTTAAATTCATCTCTAAAGAGAATGAAATGCAAGTGGCCCAGGCCTTGTGCGTCTGGTCTCTGATGCAAGGCCTTACTGCCTCCCTGCAGATCGTGTTGTATCGAGAGCAGGAAGTCCTAGAATGTGACTGTGACATGGCCTCAGTCCATCACCTGTTGTCCCAGATCCCTCAGGACCTGCCCTATGAGACGCTGATCAGTAGAGCAGGAGACCTCTTTGTTCAGTTTCCCCCATCCGAACTTGCTCGGGAGGCAGCCGCCCAGCAGCAAGCTGAGAGGTGAGTGAGGCTGAGGCTCTTGCTGCACTGGGCAGTTGTAAAGGAGAAATGAGGGAAGACGTGTATGGGGAGACGGGGCTGGGGGCAAGTTTCCAGAGATCTAAGCCTCTGGCAGCAGAATGCCCACTTTGGCCTTCATGGGTCTGTATCCAGAAGAGCTTTCTGAGCAGTGGATGGCTGTGCTCCTGGCCTATTTAGTATAGTTTCTCTTTCCTTTTCTTCTCCTTTCATACCATTTCCGTCTTTCTGTCTTCTTCCCCCTACAGAACAGCAGCCTCTACCTTCAAAGACTTTGAACTGGCATCAGCCCAGCAGAGGCCTGACATGGTGCTGCGGCAGCGGTTTCAGGGACTTCTGCGGTCTGAGGATCGAACGAAAGATGTCCTGACCAAACCAAGGACCAACCGCTTTGTAAAACTGGCAGTGATGGGGCTGACAGTGGCACTTGGAGCAGCTGCATTGGCTGTGGTGAAAAGTGCCCTGGAGTGGGCCCCTAAGTTTCAGCTGCAGCTATTTCCCTGAGAGCCAGGGAAGACACTTCCTCTTACACTACGTTAAGGTCTCACCCTTCCATGGAAGGATTGGGAGGGGTGGAATTTCCTTTATTAAAAGGGTTTCTGTCAAGGGTTTTCTATTCCTGCCACCCTTCCCTGCCTGTCCGTGTTTGCCTTTGCTTCAGAGGCCAAAAACAGGGCCTGCCTGACACTGAGGGCACTTGGGGACCTGGGGATAGAACTCTTTTCCTCTGCGCACTGGACTTCTGAGTGGGCTCTCTGCCATCTCCCCTTGCATTGAAGGAAATGCTCCAGCTTTATCTCCCAGCTGCTTTGGAGCCTGCTGGGCCTGGACTACCCTGGTTACTGGGGAACCTTCTGGCTGCCCAGTAGAAAGTAAGAGACATGGAATGTTATCTTCGCAGCTCCTTATGTCCTGTCTGCTTCAGATGGACGGAAAAGGAAGGGGCTGCAGCTTAAGAAGTTAGGCCTTGAAATGAAAGTGAGAGGGCAAAGGACTCTAGCCTGGGAACAAGATTGGCCCCTCTTAAGAGCAGCTCCATGAGCTGGTCAGAAATCAGAGAGACTGACATGGACTAGTTTACTAGTTAAATCTACCTGTTTTCAGCTAGAAATTACATGTGCATTTCCAGTCAAGTGGGAAGGAATGTTAATTTTTAGGGCCTAGACCTAGACTGGTTTTGCCTGCCTTTTTTCCCTCCCCATTCTCTTCTACAAGCCACACGACATTACTTATAACAGACACTTTTATTACTATTTTTAGAATTATATACACCCAATGTGTAAATTACCCTCACTTTAAAAATAATAGTTCCTCTGTGGAAAAAGTAGTTCTCATCAAAAAGATGAGCTTCTAAGATCCTGAAGTTTACTTTCTACTAAATTGTTTGACATTTCACTTTAGCCAGAGTTGCTACTTGTAAACAACCCTACATTTCCAAAGTGCCCACATCCTAACAGGCTTTCCTTCCTTCCTGTTTTCCTCAAATCACCCTTCTACTTCCAAATAGATACCCACTCACTGCTGTGGCATCGTTTTTTGTGTCTGATTTATCTCAATTGCTGGCCTCTCCTGCCTGGTTGGAAATGTCACTGGAAACTTGCTGGCACCCAGAAGGCACAAACTGTAGTCTGAAGACCTTGGCAGGATCCTGGAACAGCCATCCCCCCTGCCCCGAGCTTCTCTGAGGATTCTCCAGGCCTCAGTCCTTCTGGGACAGCTTTCCTGTAAGCAAAGCCAGGTAACTCTGGCTTGAAAAAAAAAAAGTGCCTTTTGCTGCTTTAAAGAATTGGAGTATATAGTATGAAGCAGCCATATACTTTTATTGGCCTGGTCTTTGCTTGGTACTGTTCTCTCTCGGCAGGTGTTTTCTTAAAGTGAACATGCCAGAAGCACTCTACCCCACCATATCCAGATGTCCACATCATCCTGCATGCCCACTGTGTGCAGAGTGGAAGGCGTGCAGCGGGCCAGGCAGCCGCGAGCTCAGAGCAGTTCGGAGAGGTGTCTACGCTGAGTTACACTAAGCACTTTAAAAACAGAACAAACTCAAAGTGATGGGTCATTCTCCACAGCAGGACCCCCACCTGGGATGAGTGTGATGTAGACGGATTAATTTATAAAGTGGTGGATTCAAGACAAAGGAAGTTCTTACAGGATCCAGAGGTGATGATGTGGCAGATATTCCCAGTCTTCTCCCACCACAAGTTTGTCCTCTTGTCATCTTTACAAATGGGCAGCAGCATCTGCCCTTTCTGAGACAAGCACTCGAGCCTGTTTGTAAACACCGAAAGAAAGGATGGGAAGAGGAAAGGAGGCGTGTGTGACCAGAGTCCCAAGGCCACAGGTCTTTGGATCCCAAGAAGCAAGTGTTATTTGCTTGTATTGTGGCCTAAGGAGAAAGTTTTTTATAGCTTTTGCTGACACCAGGATTGTCCCCTGCTGTTGAGAAGAAAGCATTTTCTATTTATCTTCAGGTGGTTTACTTATTCTGTAAAGAATATGTGTAAATATTTTGTACAAAACCCTGTATAAAATAAACAGCCATATATGGTTACTAACCATCTCTGCTGTCCTTCTGTTGCTGCCCACCACTTTTTGGGAGTGGACTCTGGTCTTAACCATCTGGCCTCGATGCTCCCCCACCTTCCACCCCAGGCCGAGGACTGTGCTGTGGTCTGTGGACTCTTGGTTGCCCTTGACTTGCCAGGAGACCATGGGCAATACCCGCATTCCTGTCGCTGTTTCCCCTGCAAGAGGTATGACCTACGTACTCCAGCTGCTGCCTGGGGCACTGCCACAGTTAGGCAGTGCAAGTGGAGTGGGGTACTAGTGTGGGGTGCTCTTGACTGTTTTTCACACACTGTTCTGCGTAGGCATTTAGCTGTAAAGGCTGCATCTGGTTTGGAACCTAACCAGAGCCTGAGGTGAATTCAGCTCTTCCTCCACGTGTAATCTTCATCTACAAAGGAGCTGTGCAAAGCTGTTCTTGCCCAGCTTCTCAACATCCTCTTAACACTCCCAGCTGCTGGGTAGTGGCAACCAGAGCAGTGCCAAGAGCCTGTCACCTCCACCCTGGGGATGGGTCCATCGAGGAGGCAAGAGTCTTTGGGCAGTTTATTGTTTCCTGGCCCAGAGGGGAGAAGTGAATGGGCCCAAGGCTGAGCTGGCGACACTCAACTCCTTGATGCTGTCCCACCACATAGGCCAAGGGCCGTGCTGCCCTTTGATGACAGTCATGGAGTACACAGAGCTGGCCAGGACACTGCCCTACCTCTGGGAGCTCACACCAGAGAGTCACACTGAAGGAGCAATTTGAGTGGCAAATTCAGAGGCAGTTTCGTGGGAGTTGATGTAAAAAATGAGAAGAATTCTGATAGAGAATTGAAGGAAAGGGATGTGTGATATAAGAAATTATTTGGTCTTTGTCCTGGGCTCCTAAAACCCTGGGATTTCCTGAATGATGATGTCTTGTTATTTTTAATGATCCCCTTTTAAAAAAAATTATTTTCAATAATTACATAATTATGTGGTACATATAATTTGATACATGTGTATACAATGTGTAATGATCAAATGGGGTAATTGGGATATCCATCACTTCAAACATTTATCATTTCTTTGTGTTGGGAACATTTCAAGTCCTCTAGCAACTTTCAAATACATAATAAAGAGGGCCGGCCCCTGGCTCACTCGGGAGAGTGTGGTGCTGATAACACCAAGACCACAGGCTCGGATCCTATATACGGATGGCCGGTTGGCTCACTGGTTGGGCGTGGTGCTGACAACACCAAGCCAAGGGTTAAGATCCCCTTACCGGTCATCTTTAAAAAAAAAAAAGAAAGAAATATATAATAAAGTAGTATTAACTGTAGTCACTCTGCTGTGCTATCAAACACTAAGACCTGTTCCTCCTATTTTTGTACCCATTAACCAACTTCTTCCTGTCCCCCTCTCCCCAGTGATCCCCTTTTGATCCCACCTAGGTTTATGCTAATGAGATAAGGTGGGACCCCCCCTAAATAGAGTTAGGATGGGGCTGGTCACCAGAAAGACCAAGTGATCAGAGGGTGGGAACTTTCAGCCCCATGCATTGACCTCCTAGGAGTCGGGGGCACTGGAGATTGAGCACTATAAAAATTTGAATGAGATTCGGTGAGCTGCTGGCTCAGTGGGTTCACATCCAGAGGAGGCATGGGGCTTCATGTCCCTTTCCCCCAGTACCTTGCCCTATTCATCTCTTGCATTTGGCTATTCCTTCATTGTATCCTTTATAATAAACCAGTACATGTAAGTACAGTTTTCCTGAGTTCTGTGAGTCATTCTAGCAAGTTATTGCACCTGAGGGGGTGGGATCATGGGTAGCCTGGGCTCCCCATCTGTGGCTGTCATCTGAAGAGGAAGCAGTCTTGTGGCACTGAGTCCTTTAGCCTGTGGGACCTGATGCTAACTCCAGGTATATAGTATCGAACTGAATTGAATTGTTCGTCACCCAGGTGGTGTCAGAGAATCAGAGATGCACTTTCAGAAGACACCACATTGTATGCAAGGCTGAGGTGGAAATACCACTTGGGTAAAAAGAGTGGGTGTTGTACAGACAGTCCAGGAGGACGTCGTTGGTGGAAGGGGTTCTGGGCCAGGGGCAGTTCTGAACAGGTGGGAAAGAATTGCAACCCCTCTGCAAGTAACGTGGGGTGTGAGGATGGGCCATGACCAAAGCTGGGTTTGGAGAGAATTATCGGCAGCCTGGTCTAGGACTGAGGTCTAGGCATGTCCCTTCCTTCCCGGCTGTGTGAGCTTCTGCAAGTCACTGCCTCTGCGACTCATTGCCCATAACAGTGAAATAGGGATTGATCCCATCCTGCACAGAGGGTTTAATGAAATGGTGTTTGTGAAGGTGCTTTACAAACTGAAGTTGTGCTAGTGTTGATTCCACTTTGGTGAACCTTTTACTGGTCAATAAACACCTTTAACTTACTCTGCACTTGGGTCCCCATGCTCGTCCAGGGATTAAATGGTGACTGGAAAAAAAGAGTAGAGGCTTGTGCCAAATCCAACTAGGAGATGGGGCCTGAGGCTCAGTCTGACTTTATCTTCTCTCCCCTAGTCCACATGTTCTGCTAGTGGCTCCTGCTGCCTTTTTCCCAGTCCTCACAAGGGCCCCTACTCCCTGGGAGCCTTTTCTCCAGACTTTGTGCAGGCCAGGCTTAGGGCTCGCCTCCAACCTCCTGTATTTTAAGTGAGTGGCTTTCATGCCAGCCCCAGACCCTAGGGAAAGACACTAGCTCTGGCACAGCTGTAGGGTCTGTCCTCAGCTCCCTGCCCACAACAGCAGCAGCTGCTCTGTATCTCAGCAACGGGCTTCCACTCACCTTCACCTTACCCTTGTGTCGCACAAGTACATCCAGGACATGCTGCTGCTTCCTCGGGTAGGTGGCTTGAGTGCAAAGGCCGTGTGGTTTGGTTTTCAGTCTGCCCCGGAGAGTTGCCACTGGGCTCTCAAGGTCTGGGGCCTGGCATGGGTGACCCTGTGGGAGGGGGAGGCACCTCCACCTGTGCCTGCAGTAGACATCACCTTGAACCTGCCCTTCATCCGCTGGAGTGGTAAGTATGGAGCTGAGGCTGGAACCCCAGGACTGCCATTTGGCTGCAGCAGATACAAACTTGCTGCTGTGCTGGCGTGGATGGGGTGGGCCAAGTGAAGACGCAGCCAGAGCAGCCCCTCTGCCTGTCTCATCCGTTTTTTTGATTTTGTTGTTGTTGTTGTTGTTGTTTGTTTTGCAGCTGGCCTGTATGGGAATCCAAACCCTTGACTTTGGTGTTACAAAGCCACACTCCAACCAACCGAGATTACCAGCCGGCCCTCATCCTCACTTTTGATGCAGCCATGGGTAAGGAAATACAGATGCTCCTTCACTAGGATGGGGGCACATCCCGATAAACCCACCATAAGTCGAACTGTCATAAGCTGGGGACCATCTGTGCATCCCTTCGTGCTTAGCACTCGTGCAGAGAGGTGCAGGGCACAGAAGGGCCTCCACGTGAGGCGTCATGGGGTGACAGTGCAGCAAACTGGAGGCCGTGCACCCCGTGAAGAGGGGTGACATCCACACAACTCCCTTTCTGCCACGTGGAAATGACGACCCAGGACTACCAAGCTTTGACTTTTTCCAGAGAAGATGAACATCTGGATTTTAATGTAGTAAATAATTTTGCCAACTTTAAAATATTGGGGCTGGCCAGTTAGCTGTTAGTGCAGCCTTATTAACACCAAGGGCATGGGTTTTGGTCTCTGTATGGGCCAACTGCCTAAATAAAATATTGGTAAATTCACTTTCTAGAACATTGCGTGGGCAATGTTACAGCCTGTGGCACCCTTTCTAGAACATTGCGTGGGCAATGTTACAGCCTGTGGCACCCTTTCTAGAACATTGCGTGGGCAATGTTACAGCCTGTGGCACCCTTTCTAGAACATTGTGTGGGCAATGTTACAGCCTGTGGCACCCAGAGAATGGTCTCTCCTTTTCTCTGGTGCCCAGACTCCTGAGAAATGCCAAACCATGCCCTGGGAGGACGACAACAATCTGGTCTGATAGTGTCTGCCCGAGCTGGGCCCATCACACCCGCTTGCAGGCCAGCTATCCTCAGCTTGTCCTGTTTTCTCCCAGTTGGTGGCTCCTCCTGACCCCTTCTGCTCACAGAGTTGGGGAGGCTGCCTGAGTATGCCCTTCATCGGCTATGACAGCTGTCCTGAGCCAATGCTGGCAGTTAGAAGGCACTCAGTCTACTCACACCTCTACCTCTGCTCACAGCCCCTGGGGCCAACTCTCTTGAGTCTTGGCATCCAGCGACAGGGTGGTAGTGCCTTTTCAGGGGCTAGAACAGACCCTTCTCTGCAAAACCACATGCCCCAACGTCTGGAGTCTGAAGCCTGGAACCTGGAGCCCAGGCCCTGAACAGTAGAGGTGCCCTCTGCCCGCTGTAATGATGATCACGTTGAAGCACAATGTGTTAGGCATCAAATACTAGATCTCAACAGGGGACAGGGGATCACAGAACGGACATCCCAGGATTGTGTTTTATTAATCTCTGACCAGCACAGAATGGGTACTAATAAACCCTGCCATATCAAGACTTTGCCATCTTGCCTGAGATGTTAAAATTAGGATGGACAATCTCATCCCTCAATTGCAGCAGCTTCATCTGTTCCTTAAATACCTCTGCTCACCATATCTGGATGCCCACTGAGAGGTCAAAAGGGGGTGGCAAAACTCTCCTGGCAGCCTGTAGCTGCTGCCTCAGCCCCCTCCAAGCCCAAGCTGATCTGCTGACCCTTCTATGCAGACTCTTGACACACTGTGAACCCTGCCTGTCCAGGCTAATGTTGACCTGATGTTGGACACAGCATGCCAAGTCTGGCACAAGGTTCCCAGTGCTCAGTCACAGCCTCATTCTACCACTGAAAGGGGCCGACATATCGACATCCTGATGCAATTCCCAAAGAGCTCAGATCCTGCCCATGTGTAGAGCCCCAGCTCATGACATCACATACTTATTCCGTCCTAGAAAATTGTTTTAATAACATATACAGTCAGCAGAGAGGGAGATGTAGCAGCTGGACTGGATAGGCTGTGCTTTCAAAACTGCCCGGTCTCCCTCTTGGTTCCGAACAGGTTAGCAGCAGTTCTAAGAGGCCCAGGGCCTCCAACAGCAAAGGCAGAGAAAGGTCACCTCAGAGAGCCAACAGGGGAAGGGGTGAAGCTGTGAATGCTTGGTGTTCAGCAGACGAGGGTGGTGGGGGGAGGAGTGTGGGGTCACATGGAAGCTCACAGAGGTTCCATCCAGCAAGGCCTCTGGCCAGGGGCTGTGTTTAAGGCTGGGGTCAAGCAGATGTGGAGTCGCAGAGATGAGATGAGAGGTCTGGCTGGCAAGTCCCAAAGAAAGGACAAAGGCACTGGGGCAGATGAGACCACGGACAGCAGTCAGCTCAGGTGGGGCCCCTGTGACACCTACAGCAAACAAGGCCATCCACGCAGCTGAGGGGGCTTGGCCTCAGCAGGGCCCCGCCTCGACTAAGCACAAAGGCAGAAAACAGAGCCAAAGTCCCAAGCCCAGCCCTGCCCCACAGCAGCCTGGGCACTTGGCCATCTTCAGCTCAGTCAGTGGCAGTTCTGACAACTTGGGTGGCAAGGAATCCCATCCACCCGGCAGCGGCAGCCCCCGCTGATGTCTCCTGGGCCCTAGAGGATGGGAGAAAGAGAAGAGAATGTCAGGGCAGTGAAAACAGACTGTCCCCCTGCACTACTCCTTCACTCCCCCAAAGCCGAGCGCTGTCCCACTGCAGGTCCTCCTGTTAAGAATGGCCTTCTTGGCCTCAGCTACCTGAAGGAGGCAGTCACTAAGGCCTTTTTGGCTCCCACAGCACCATCTACCACCCCTAGACCCAGAGTAGGGAAGGGATCTGGCCACTGTCTGCATCTCCTGCGTGGGTCAGCACGCTGGCAGCGTGAGAGGGGGCGGCTTCCTCTGTCTTGTCTCTCTAAAAGTCCACTCACATGTAACAATGGCCTCCAGTTCCAGGAACACACCCCTAACAATGACAGCCACCATTTATGGAGTGCTCACCCTGCGACAGGTGCTCTGCTAAGCACTTCTTTTGCTTTTTTCATTTGATTCTGACAACAAGACCGAGACAGGCTCCGCTACCATCCCCATTTCACAGAGGAAGAAACTGAGGCTCAGAGAACTGAATAACAGTCTAATCACACAGCCAGGATACACCAGAGACAGGGAGTCAGTCCACCTGTGACTCCAGAATGAACCTTTACTCGCTGTGCTCCAGGGCAGGGTGGGTAAACTTCCTCTGTAGAGGGTAGGTCATTTTAGGCTTGGTAGGCCATGGGTCTCTGCTTGTGTAGTGCCACAGATAATATGTAAATGAGCAAGCATGGCTGTGCTCCAAGAGGACTTTATTTATGGACACTGAAATATGGATTTCATATAATTTTCACATGTCATGAAACAGTATTCATCTTTTAATACTTTTTCCACCATGTAAAGAAGTAAAAAGCATTTTTACATTTGCAAGCTGCACAGATACAGGCAGGGGGTTAGATTTGGTCCACAGCTGTAGTTTTCCACGCCCTCCTCTAGGGCAGGCCCCACAAGGGCACCCTCCCCACAATACCCCAATGACTCACCCCAGGACCCCAGCGTGGGCCCTTGGTGACCCAGCAGATCTCGGTGTGGCAGACAGTGCAGCGGATCCAGTCACAGCCGTCCTTCTTCTGCACCACGATCTGGCACTGTGGGCAGTGCATGGCCTCGCCCTGCTGCAGCATCAACTGGAGCAGAGCTGGCGCTGACCTCAGGGTCAGCCTGGCCCTGAGCCCCAGCCTCCCCACTGCCCAGAGAAACCACCACCCCTCTGGAGCTGTGGACCCGCTCTCCTCCGCTCCTCCACCCAGGCCAGGCTTTGGCCAGCCACACTCCTTGTTCCTGTGGTCTCCTCCCTCCACCCAGACATTCTTCCCGCTGCTCGCCCCTGACTGCTTGGCCTAAGTCCCATCTCAGAAGAGAGGCCCTTGCTCAGCCTCTAGGCCCTTTCTGAGAAGCTCCCACCCCTCGCCTACCCGCCAGGCCCTCAGCCCTGTCCCAGCCTCACCCTCAGCATCTCCGTTGTCTGCCGGGCAGCCACGTCATTCTGAGCCCGCAAGGCCAGGTCGTCCTGATACTCCTTGCAGTTCATCTGCTCATGGATGGCCTGCAGGGAAGTGAGGGGCTCGAAGTGAGAAGGTTCTCCAGGGAGTTAAGAAGCTGGGAGAAGTGAGGGGCAGAGCAGGTACCTACATAAGCACCTAATGCCTCGAGGTGTCATCAGTGACTGGGCTACATCCATTCTACAGAAGAGGACACTGAGGCCAGGCAGGTGAAGCCAGGGTCACATGTAATAATAACAACATATACTTATTTGTTTTAAAGCCTGATGGGCACAAAAATCCCTACAGCACCTCTCCCACAAGCTGCAGCCCCTAAGTCCCTGCCAAGAATCTGTCCCAGTTACAGGCCTGATGCTTTGAGACTGAACTTGTGTAAGCCAACTCTGAGACTGTATTCCAGACCTGTCTACCTGCTCCTCACCTTAATGGTCAACTTTTGACAAGATGGGGGCAGGGATGGGCCTGGGAGAAGCATCAGGCAGGGCTCAGTGTGGGTTTAGGGTCAGAGCTCAGTTCAGGATAGAGGTTAAAATTTGGTCTGGATCAGGGCTTGGTCTATGAGGTCTGGGCTCAGTCCAGGGCCTAGCCAGGCTCTCTCACTGACATGCAGCTCTAAGACATAACAACCAGGCCAATATCACAGCTCCCTTCCCAGGAGAACAAGCACTGAATTGTACTGAGCTCCTGACAGGACCAGGATGACCAGGCAGCATGGGTCCCCATCTCCACCTTACAGAGCAGGCAGTTGACGTGGAAACACACGGGGCACGTGAACTCGTTGACATCATCATCAACAATGCACCATCCCTTGCAGTCTGGGGTCTTGCAGTGGTAGCTGAGGGCACTACGGTTTTCAGCAATGGAGATGCCCAGGTCCAGAAACCGCTGGTAATCCTCGGGAGTCAGGAGCTGCCAACAGACCACTTTCTTGTTGCTCAGGTTCAGCACGCCTAACAAGTGGCCCTCCTTGCCACCAAATATGCTCCAGGAAGCGCCTAAGCCTCAACACATCCCCAGGCTCTTTTCTTCACGAAACAAACCCTCTCAGTATTTAAAAACTCCATTCAAAAAGTGGATTTAAAAAGCTCTGTAGATGGATGATGGTGACTACACAACAATGCAAATGTACCTAATGCCACTGAACTGTACACTTAAAAATAGTTAGAATGGTAAATTTTATGTTATGTATATTTTAATACAATTTAAAATGAACAAAAAAAAATAATTAACAATGTGAGGGAAGATGTGGTTAAACAAGCACCCTGAGAAAGCAGTGCAACAGTAACATCTCAGCCACCCCAGACTTTCTGACCTTTGGCACCCACCTCACTTCTACGAGTTTACTCTAAGAAAATAATATATAAGAAGAGGCACCATGCAAAATGTTCCTTGACGGGCCGGCCCGTGGCTCACTCAGGAGAGTGTGGTGCTGATAACACCAAGGCCACGGGTTCGGATCCCATATGGGGATGGCGGGTTGGCTCACTAGCTGAGCGTGGTGCTGACAACACCAAGCCAAGGGTTGAGATCCCCTTACCCGTCATCTTTTTTTTTTTTTAAAAAAAGAAGAGATATAAAGAGGATCTATGCCACAGAGATCCATAATAATCTTTAGAAAGGTTTTGTAGCAAAACAGCAAAAGCTTTGCCAATATACAAATACACAATACACAATAAGGTAAAAGTATAATTTCTGATTTCCCTTTTTTATTTGTCTCCAAATGTTATATGATACTAACAGCATTATAACAATAAAGAGAATTTAGGGAAAAGTAGTTTCAGCTGATTATCATCATCATCATCGCCTGGGCAAATTTTTTAAAAAAGTATTTTAGGGAATTGTGCTGGAATAGGGGTCTTCTGCTTCCTTGTTTTCCTCCACTAACACTGATTTCTAAGCATGTTTCCATGTTACTTCTAAAGGCATTTAGCTCTAGCATTTCATTGTATTATTTCTCAGTGTATTTAACTAGTATTCAAATGCTGGCACTTAGGGCCGGCCCGTGGCTCACTCGGTAGAGTGCGGTGCTGATAACACCAAGGCCATGGGTTCGGATCCCATATATAGGGATGGCCGGTTCACTCACTGGGTGAGTGCGGTGCTGACAACACCAAGTCAAGGGTTAAGATCCCCTTACTGGTCATCTTTTTAGAAAAAAAAAAAATGCTGGCACTTAGGCAATTAACAATCTTTCACTTTTTAGAATAATGCAGCTATAAACAGCTTAAGAAAAAAATTACATTTTTTCCCTTATGGTATTTTATACCCAAAAAAGAAATTGATCGAAGGACATGGGCATTTTATTTTTCTTGTTCTGTTTAATCAGATTCCTTTGAAAAAGGACTGGGTCAATAAAAAAAGAAAAGAAAGGGCTGGCCTGTGGCTCACTTGGGAGAGTGCAACAGTAACATCTCAGCCACCCCAGACTTTCTGACCTTTGGCACCCACCTCACTTCTACGAGTTTACTCTAAGAAAATAATATATAAGAAGAGGCACCATGCAAAATGTTCCTTGACGGGCCGGCCCGTGGCTCACTCAGGAGAGTGTGGTGCTGATAACACCAAGGCCACGGGTTCAGATCCCTATGTAGGGATTGGGCCAGTTAGCTCACTTGGGAGAGCGACAACACCAAGCCAACGGTTAAGGTCCCCTTACTGGTCATCTTTTAAAAAAAACCTTAATTGGGCCGGCCCGTGGCTCACTCAGGAGAGTGTGGTGCTGATAACACCAAGGCCATGGGTTCAGATCCCTATGTAGGGATTGGGCCAGTTAGCTCACTTGGGAGAGCGACAACACCAAGCCAACGGTTAAGGTCCCCTTACTGGTCATCTTTTAAAAAAAACCTTAATTGGGCCGGCCCGTGGCTCACTCAGGAGAGTGTGGTGCTGATAACACCAAGGCCACGGGTTCAGATCCCTATGTAGGGATTGGGCCAGTTAGCTCACTTGGGAGAGCGACAACACCAAGCCAACGGTTAAGGTCCCCTTACTGGTCATCTTTTAAAAAAAACCTTAATTGGGCCGGCCCGTGGCTCACTCAGGAGAGTGTGGTGCTGATAACACCAAGGCCATGGGTTCAGATCCCTATGTAGGGATTGGGCCAGTTAGCTCACTTGGGAGAGCGACAACACCAAGCCAACGGTTAAGGTCCCCTTACTGGTCATCTTTTAAAAAAAACCTTAATTGGGCCGGCCCGTGGCTCACTCAGGAGAGTGTGGTGCTGATAACACCAAGGCCATGGGTTCAGATCCCTATGTAGGGATTGGGCCAGTTAGCTCACTTGGGAGAGCGACAACACCAAGCCAACGGTTAAGGTCCCCTTACTGGTCATCTTTTAAAAAAAACCTTAATTGGGCCGGCCCGTGGCTCACTCAGGAGAGTGTGGTGCTGATAACACCAAGGCCATGGGTTCAGATCCCTATGTAGGGATTGGGCCAGTTAGCTCACTTGGGAGAGCGACAACACCAAGCCAACGGTTAAGGTCCCCTTACTGGTCATCTTTTAAAAAAAACCTTAATTGGGCCGGCCCGTGGCTCACTCAGGAGAGTGTGGTGCTGATAACACCAAGGCCATGGGTTCAGATCCCTATGTAGGGATTGGGCCAGTTAGCTCACTTGGGAGAGCGACAACACCAAGCCAACGGTTAAGGTCCCCTTACTGGTCATCTTTTAAAAAAAACCTTAATTGGGCCGGCCCGTGGCTCACTCAGGAGAGTGTGGTGCTGATAACACCAAGGCCATGGGTTCAGATCCCTATGTAGGGATTGGGCCAGTTAGCTCACTTGGGAGAGCGACAACACCAAGCCAACGGTTAAGGTCCCCTTACTGGTCATCTTTTAAAAAAAACCTTAATTGGGCCGGCCCGTGGCTCACTCAGGAGAGTGTGGTGCTGATAACACCAAGGCCATGGGTTCAGATCCCTATGTAGGGATTGGGCCAGTTAGCTCACTTGGGAGAGCGACAACACCAAGCCAACGGTTAAGGTCCCCTTACTGGTCATCTTTTAAAAAAAACCTTAATTGGGCCGGCCCGTGGCTCACTCAGGAGAGTGTGGTGCTGATAACACCAAGGCCATGGGTTCAGATCCCTATGTAGGGATTGGGCCAGTTAGCTCACTTGGGAGAGCGACAACACCAAGCCAACGGTTAAGGTCCCCTTACTGGTCATCTTTTAAAAAAAACCTTAATTGGGCCGGCCCGTGGCTCACTCAGGAGAGTGTGGTGCTGATAACACCAAGGCCATGGGTTCAGATCCCTATGTAGGGATTGGGCCAGTTAGCTCACTTGGGAGAGCGACAACACCAAGCCAACGGTTAAGGTCCCCTTACTGGTCATCTTTTAAAAAAAACCTTAATTGGGCCGGCCCGTGGCTCACTCAGGAGAGTGTGGTGCTGATAACACCAAGGCCATGGGTTCAGATCCCTATGTAGGGATTGGGCCAGTTAGCTCACTTGGGAGAGCGACAACACTTCCCAGCGCCGCACTCTTCCGAGTGCGTCACGGGTTCGGCCCCCTGCCTCCATGTTTTGACCTGGGACCCCAAGATGCCCAAGTCTGGGAAGGCCATTTCTCAGCAGTTTAAAAACCATGAATCATGCCCAACAGTCCACTTTACAAACGGAGGCCCAGGGAAGGGAAAGGACTTGCTCAAGATCACCAGCCATCAGTGAGAGAACCTGGTAATTAATAACATTAATGACAGTATCAACAGCAGACATATATGCACTCTGACATATATGGCACTCTGATAGACTGCTGGAGTAATGGCTCCAATTTGCTCATGTCTCCTGATTCCACACCCTCGCGAGAGAACCTGGTAATTAATAACATTAATGACAGTATCAACAGCAGACATATATGCACTCTGACATATATGGCTCTCTGATAGACTGCTGGAGTAATGGCTCCAATTTGCTCATGTCTCCTGATTCCACACCCTCGGGTAGTCCCCTCCCGCACAGGCTCTGGGCTTGAGCACATGACTTGCTTTGGTCAATGGGACAGTAGCAAATAAACCAGCAGAGACTTGGAAAACTCATGCACAGGGGCTCGCCTGTGGCTGTTTTTGGAACCCTGAGGCCACCACCACGTGAGCAGGCCCTGGCCAGCCAGGTGGATGAGAGACTAAAATGAAAAGGGACCCTAGTCATCCCAGCCATTGCAGATGAGACCATGATAAACCAGTCCACCTCAGCTGACCCATGGGCTAAGCCTAGATGAGATCAGCCAGGCCCAGCCCAGATCACAAGAGCCACCCAGGTAAGCCCAACCCAAATTACTAACTTGCAGATCCATGAGCTAAATAAATGGTTGTTGTTTTAAGCAACTGAGTCTGGAGTGATTTGCTACACAGCAAAAGCTAAATGACGGAAGGGCTTACCGTGTCGAGCACTACTCTAAACGTGACACATATCTTCTACTGTGATCTTTGCAACTCTGAAACTATAACTTTGACCCTAGTGGAGATGAGAAAACTGAGGCACTGACTTGAGTTCACACACCCAGGCCATCCGGCTCTAGAGTTAGCTCTTAACCATTGTCTCTCCTTCATAAAGGCAGTTTCTTTACTAGCTACCTCCCTCAATTCCTGGCCTGCTTGGGGCCCCAACACCCAACATTGAAAAATGTCTGTCCTCTGAAGCCACTCCCCAGCTGCTAGCTCAGGCCCAGTTCCCTGGGTCACGGGACATGCCCCTCCCACTCCCGGCCTTACCGCCCGGATCTCTCTCTCCAGCAGCTTGCCAGAGCACGAGTAGGTGTTGTTAATGAAGGGGCAGGAGACCTCTGCCTCCTGGCTGTTGCGGATGGTGCCCTGCAGGCACTCCCTGGGGGAGGAGACAGGATGGGGTGGGAGTCAGGATCATCTGAACCCTATCCACCAGGGGCTCCACCCATCACATAACAAGGCCTAACCCCAGGGGGCCTTTCTCAGCCTCACCAGGTGGGCTTCTCCTCAATACCCACTTCCTGCACATTCCCCTCGCCAATCCATCAACAAGGCTTCCATTTCTGTCCACACCACTGCTACCCGGTGCTCTGGTCCGGTCCCCATCATCCCTCACCTGAGAGACTGCAGCAGCCTCCTCACTGGGCTCCCTGTGTCCCCCTGCCCCTAGAATCAATTCTCAGCACAGCAGCCATGTCCCTCCCCAGTGGCCTTCCACCCCACCCAGAGCAAACCCAAGCCCCTAGCTGCTGCTCACAAGCCCCTCCATGACCCGCTCTACTCCCACTACTCCCTTTGCCCCCTGCAGCTGGCACCCCCTCCAGGGAAGGGCCCCATTTGTATCATAACCCACTGTTACTTAGCATTTGCCACAATATACAGTGATAACAATCAGTGATTATCTGATTAACATCAGCCTCTCCACTGGAGTGTAGGCTCTAGGAGGCAGGAAGGGAGCCTGGCACCAGGGCTGCTCCAGCACTGTCCGCTGTGCGGAGTACATGCTCTCCACAGCCCAGGAAGGGAAGGCTGTGAGAGGGGTAGACTGTCACCAGTGAGGCAGAGAACGGGACTGGTGTGGGCTGCCAGGGCAAGAGCTCCCATCCCTTTGCCTGGGAAGTAAGAGGTAGTGGATAAGGCAGAGGCTCTGGAGCCAGAATGCCTGGGTTCATGTCTGGGCTTCTCTTATGAGCTGTGTGGCCCTGCATGAGTTGCTTGGCCTCTCTGTACCTTACATTCCTCATCTGCAAAATGGGGAGATAGAGCCTACCTCGCAGGTTTTTGTGGGTATCCAATGAGATGTAAGAGCACAGGTTCCCACCCACTTTCAGGGGGGTGGGACTGGGGGCCGCACCTGCAGAAGGTGTGCAGACACTCCCGCAGCACCACGGCCTCGCCGGGCCCCAGCACCGAGTAGCACACAGGGCACTCGGCGGGCTCGGTGTTCAGCACCAGGCTCCTCTGGTCCAGCTGGACAAGCTGCCGGTAGTTTCCCTCCTGCTGCTGCTGCTTCCGCTGGGCACATGGGGCGGGGCCATGGGGTGGGTCAGGGTCTCAGGGGCCAGTCAGACCAAGAAGCCGGCAGGGCCAGGGGACTGGCCAGGGCTGAGTCAGCAGGGACCCCGGGAGTGGTGGGGGGTGGCCAGGAGCAGTAGGCAAAGCAATGCTGGGAAGGGTGGGGGTGGGAGAGGGCCAGGCAGGGCCAGGTTTCGGCTACAGCCAGGGGTTGAAGCCAGGTGAGGGAGCAATGGTGGTAGGGACAGGAAGGGGGCCAGGGTCAGAGTCAGGAGTCAGGGATAGCAGGGCTCAGTTGGGCCAGGAGATGATGGTAGAGCCAGGTCAGAGACAGGCAGGTGACAAAGCTAGGTAGTACAAGGTTGTAGATGGGACCAGGAGAAGGTTTATGGCAGGGATGGGGTGGGGCAGCACTGGGTCCCAGGGGAATGCAGGTACGGACTGGTGTCATGGAATCAGAAGTGGGGAACACTCAGGGCCAAGGATCTGTGTAATCAGTGCATCTGTCACTGACTGGGGGGTGGCTACAGGAGGGGCAGGACAGAAGGCAGGGGACATCCCAGCAGTGTGGGGCCAGGGCCAGGGTTATAGGAAGGCAGGAGGCCAAGCCAGAGAAAGAGGTGTCAGGGGAGATAGGGTCCAGGGTGAGGTCAGGCTGGTGGAGCAGGAGCTAGGTCACAGGCCTACAGAGGTGAAGCTGAGCTGAGACGAGGTCAGGGTCACAGCCAGAGGCACATATGTACATAGATGTGTGCATCAGAGTCAGGGGCGGAGCCACAGCCCATGTGGGAGCAGGGCAGATGAACCCGGATGTGCGTCACAGCCAGGGAGTGGGGTCTCAGCCACAGGGTGACCTCTGAGGGAGGTGGGTCACAGTCAAGTGCTGGGTTGTCGCCAGTGGTGCAGCGTGAGGGGCAAGGCAGTCAGGGGAGGGGCGGCCATGTGCAGGTGTTTCCCTTCCTGGCCTACGCCGCCCCCGTCCCCGTCCAGTCTGCAGGTGTCTGTGCGGGGACCTCGGCGCCCACCTGCTGGTACTGGCGCAGCGCCTCCTCCTCGCCGGCCAGGCGCGCTCGCTCCTCCTCGTCAGGCTGGTATGAAGGGGGCACCCGGTAGTCCTCGGGCCGCGCCCGGCAGCACATCTCGCAGCCGGGCCGCGTGGGCTTGTTGATGAAGGTGCACCCGGGGCACTGCCAGCCCACCTGGGAGCAGAGGGGCCGTGAGCGGGGCGAGCAGGGCAGGGAACGGGAGAGTGCGCATGGGGGCGGCTTACCCGCGGGAGCTCGGGAGCCGCATCTGGCTGCCCTGGTCTTGGGTCCTGGGGGGCCCCGGGCTTCGCAGGGGCTGGCTCCAGGGGGCCCCGTGGCTGCAGCGTAAGGTCCTTAAAGCCCAGATCTGCAGAAGATAGTTAAGGAGGTGACGGATCCATGCGACGGCCAGCTTCGTCCACACCCTGGGCCAGCCCGACAGACCCCACCTTCTATCCGCCTCCCTCTCTGGAGGTGTCTCCAGCCTCCGTCCTGACAGGCGGGCATCCTGACTCACCCAAGGTTAGGGTCCCTACTCCACCCACAAATGCTCCTGTGTCCTCTAGGCTTAAAAATTCTGCATAAAACCCGACCTCCTGTGCCTTCTTAAGGATGCACGGAGAGGGACACTACTTCTGAGGCATCCTACCAAAATACTGACCGGATCCACCCATTCAGACCAAAGAAAAAAGAAACTGGCCCAGACTCTTCAAGTCAGTCATATCAGAAGAGTCCAGGAGACCAAAGCTGAGAAAGAATGAGACATGACAGCCAAATGCCATGTCTTTTGCTAGAAAGGACATTAGTGGGACAACTGGTAAAATTTGAATAAGATCTATAGATTAGACAATACTATTGATACTATTGTATCAATGTTAGGTTCCAGAATTGAATAGTTATACATGATAATGTAAGAAAATGGCCTTTCTTTTGAAGGAAATACACACTGAAGTATTTATGGGAGAGGAACATTATGTCTGCAACTTACTCTCAAAATGGTTCAGAGAATAAAATAATTGTATAGGGAGAGACAGAGAAAGCAAAGCACGTGGTAAAACGTTAGTATTTAGGGAATCCACATGAAAAGTACATGGGAATTCTTTATACAAGTCTATGTACAATTTTGCAACTTTTCTGTAAGTCTAAAATATTTGAAAAGTATTACATTTTAAAAATATTTTTAAAAATTTAAACACTAGTTATTATTATCATACCCAATTTACAAATTTATCTTTTTTATTTTTGGTTGGCTGGCCGGTGCAGGGATCTGAATCCTTGACCTTGGTATTATCAGCTCTACCTCTAAGCTCCACCAGCCAGCCCCCAATTCACAAATTTAGAAAACTGAGGAGCAGAGACAGGAATGAAGTTGCCCGAGGTCACACAGAAGGTAAATGCCAGAGCTAGGACTCAGCCCCTTGCCCCGCACCAGCTGTTCTCACAACGGTTCCCTCAGCTGTCCCTCCCAGGTGTCTTATGTCCTCTCCTTCTCACTGTGGATAAGGTCCTCTGGGGTCATCCCTTACCAAAAGCCCAGGCCTCTGCCCCGCTTGCCCTACAGCCTCAGGTGAGTCAGGGCCCCTCTGAGTACCGCATTGCTCAGGGACAGAGCCTCACCTTCCAGCATCCGCAACTGTCGCTCCCGCTGCAGCTCCTGAGGGTTGAGGGAGGTGTTGCAGGCTGACAGCAGATAGAGGTAGGCGCTGTCCCCATTCTGCCGCACCCCATGGGAGTGCAGGGTCTCCTGGTCTCGTGCCAACCGCTGACCAATCACCCACTGCTGCAGGACTGGTGGGAAGCCGTAGTCTAGAAATACCTGGCAGGGCCACCAAGAAAGGGAGAGTGGGAAGGGAGGATCAGAGGAGAGAGAGGAGACGGGAGCAAAATGGGAAGCCTCCACCGGATGTCCCCCTTCAGCCCCTCACTCACCATGTCCTTCAGGGAAGCCACCGTCATATCAGGGCGCACCATGAGCCAGATGGTGACGGTGTGCATCTGAGCGTCCTCCACATTCACCCACAACCTGTGCAGAAGAACAAGGTGGGGGCAAGGGCTCTGGCCACACGTCTAACCACAGCCACCAGCTACAGATATGTATATGCTTGTACACATGTGCACGCACAAGCGCATGTGCACAAACACGTGACCCCCCACACCTCTGTGCTTCCTCCTTTTAGATCCCACTGCTTAAGCCCCTCCAGTGGCTCCACACTGCTCAGAATAAAACCCAGAGTCATGCAGGACACGAGGGACTCCATGATCTGGCCCTTGCTCCTGCTCCAGCCTCTTCTATCTTCTCCCCCCAGCTCCTTAGCCCAACAACCATTATTTATTATGTGCCAAGACTACTCAATGCCCTTAACGTGTATTAACTAATTTAATCCTCTCAACCAACCCATGAGGCAGGTACTGTTGCATCCCTTTTTTTACAGATCAAAAACACAAGGCACTGTGTGTTGGCATTCTGCCAACATAAGCAATTGATAACTGTTAAGAGGCAAGGCTTAAATCCAAATAGTATTATTCCAAAGTGCTTTTAAGCACCAGCTTTCTCAAGGATCCTCAAGCATTTCTGGAAGACCAAAAGCATGAAAAGAAAGAGCTAAGATGAAAAAACAGAACTGACTCCAAAGGCAACAGAGATAATTCAGGGTCAAGAACAATAACAACAGTAAAGTCTAACTAGGACCTTCAGAGAGACTTGGGAAAACATCACAAACATAAAGCAAGAACAGGCAAGAAGCAATCAGAAAACGAGCAAGAGTTCCTGGACATTAAAAAAGTGATGGCTGACTAACCTTTAGATCTAACTACCAGTTACAGGAAAAAACGGGCGATATTAAATGGCACTGTGAAGAGACAATAAATCCAGAATGTGGGAAAATGTTAAAGATCAAAAGCCAGGTTTCTTAACAAAATTAATGGCATAAAAATAGAGGAGAATAAGAGACTTAAAACATATTAAGAAACACAAATCTTGTTTGGCTCCAGATTTGTCTTTTTTTTTTTTTTTTTTTTTTTAAAAAT